CCGACCTTGTCGGCCCGGTCCTCGGCGAGGAATCGGCTCTGGAGCTTGCCGCCGCCCTCGATCAACACCTGGAGAATGCCCCTCTGGGCCAGCGCGGTGAGCACCGCGTCGAGGTCCAGGCCCTGGCCGACCACCTTTTCGCCCACCCGGACCACCTCGACGCCCCGGTCGCGCCACAGCTGGGCCACGTCGGCCTTGACGCGTTCGGAGGTGAAGATGAGCGTCGAGCCCAGGGAGACGTCGAGCAGCGGGCCGTCGACGATCTTGCCGGTCGAGTCGAGCGCGACCCGCAGCGGCGTCACGGTCTCGGCGCCGGCCACGCCTCGCACGTTGAGCCGCGGCCTGTCCTTCAGCGCCGTGTTCGATCCCACGATGATCGCTTGCGACCCGGCGCGAAGCCTTTGAATTCAAACCAGGTGATTAGTGTCTGTGCGGTGTGCGTGTGCGTGTGCGGTGTCTAGTAGTACCGGTGGCCGTCCTGTCGCGCGTTTTCGCCGGTGATCCACTGCGAGGTGCCGTCCTCGCAGGCGATGCGGCCGTCAAGGCTCATCGCCGCCTTTATGACCACGTAGGGCTTGCCGCTCGAGCGCTGGTGCACGAACGGCAGGAGCGACTGCTTGGCCTCCGCCTCGCACACCCCGACCACCACCTCGACCCCCGACTCGCGCAGAAGCCTGCGTACACCACCACCACGCCCAGCACCCACGTCAGCTCATTTGTTATCGACTGCGCTGCGCTCTTGAGAAGGCGGAAAAGAAAGACCGTACTTGATGCCCTGGCCGTTGACGCGGTCGTCGGGGTCGACGAAGGCGATGACCACCCGCGCGGCGCCGACCTCGAGCAGTTTCCTATCGCACGGCGGCGTGCGGCCGGTGTGATGGCACGGCTCCAGCGTCACATAGAACGTGCTCCCTAATACGCCACAGTTGGCAACAGTGTTCAGCCAAGCGGTTGTGTGTGTGGGTGTGTGTTGAGTCGCGGCATACCCTTGAGATCGGCCGCCGTGGCGCCGTTGTCGAGTGCATTCTGGATGGCCTTC